GGCATGTTGTTTGCGTTTTGTCAACTTGTTGTCGGCATGTTGTCGGCGTGTTGTCAGCGAGTTGTCGCTGTGTTGTCAGTTTGTTGTCGGCGTGTTGTCAGCATGTTGGTGTTAACTTGTTGTTGGCGTGTTTTCAGCGTGTTGTCAGCGTGTTGTTGGCGTATTGTTGGCATGTTGTCAACTTGTTGGCGTGTTGTCAGCGTATTGTTGGCATGTTGTCAACTTGTCGTTGGCGTGTTGTCAGCGTGTTGTCAGATGCCTCTACAGATTGAAGAGCTGAATAGTAAAAACGCCTCATGTGGGAGGAGTCAGGAGGAGGGGCTAACGTTTCGTTGTCTTCTCACCTGTGAAGACTTTCCACTGAAGGAAAGGCAGGAACTAACAGAGACTCGGAGGTTCTGCTGTGGTTCTGTCCATAGGAACCAGGTTCTGGGTCACAGCTCTTGTTGCACCACTTGAGCTGGTCCTGATCTCTGTAGGTAAAATGTCTGCTTTGAAATGGGTCGCTTTAACAGAACCGGACATTGGTTCTGATCAGTTCAGCGGATCTGAGTTGTTAGAATGTCCCTTTCGCTCTCCTAAGTTTCTTGTCGTCACTAACGAGCTCATCTGATGGTTCTGATCCAAAATGTTCTGCTCAGAAGTTCTGTAATCCAAAATTAAACATGTGGGATTAAATCAAGAGTGAAGCGATTACAATAATCTGAATGTTCTGGATTCAAAAGAGAAGATTTACAGTGCAAATAAACAGTCTGCACTGATCAGTGGGATTAATTCAGAATAAAATGACAAATTATGGTTCTCATGTTTGTTCTCAAAAGTTAAGTTAATTAAATTTAATTAAAGTTAATTGTCTCTGAAACATGACTTTGAGATTATTCAGTTTGTATTTTTCTGTTTATTTGTTGATTTTATTGATTCTGACTTCCTGCATCAATGTGGAGATATTTTCATGTTTTTAGGATTAAATTTGAATTAAATTTCTGTTGGTTTTTTATTTTTATCCTTTTTTGTGTTTGTGTCCAGCACGTTGTCCAACAGTGTTATTTTTAAAGTGCTTTATGAATAAAGTTTTATTATAAATGTTTGTTAAATTCATGAATTCAGTTCTGCGAGCTGCTGGCAGACATCTTTAACACCTCACTTACCCTGGAGACAGCTCCCACCTGCCTGAAGACTGCCACCATCATCCCAGTCCCAAAAAGCTCTACAGTGACTGGTCTGAATGACTATCGGCCAGTGGCCCTCACCCCGATAGTCGCTAAATGCTTCGAAAAACAGGTCATGACTCTCATCAAAACAACCATCAACATCAACGAGGACCCTCATCAGTACACATACCACGAGAACTGATCAACAGAGGATGCCATCTCCTCTGTGGTCCACACTGCTCTCACCCACCTGGAGCAGAAGAACTCCTACGTCCGTATGCTCTTTGTGGACTTCACATCCGCCTTCAACACCATGATCCCCCAAACCCTGATGGACAAATTACTCACACTAGGACTAAGCCCCTCCATCTGCAACTGGGTACTAGACTTTTTAACAAACAGACCACAGTTAGTGAGGATCCACAACCTCTCCTCCTCCACCATAATCCTCAGCACTGGCTCTCCTCAGGGATGTGTGTTGAGCCCCCTCCTGTTCACTCTGCTCACGTATGATTGTGCAGCTACCCATCCAGGCTGTCACATTGTAAAGTTTGCAGATGATACAGCGGTGGTGGGATGCATCACAAACAATGATGAGTCCAGCTACAGGCAAGAGGTGGAACACCTGGAGAGCTGGTGCAGAGAGAATAACCTTCACATCAATGTGAAGAAGACAAAGGAGATGATCGTGGACTTCAGAAGGAACAAAAACACCTACACCCCCCTGAACATAAGAGGATCTGTGGTGGAATGACAATAAGGAAACTTTGACCTTGACCTTGAATATCTGAATAAAAACAGAAACTTCGGCCTTCCTGCTCGTTTGAATAAATCTCTGGATCTGTTGACCCTTTAGAGACTTTTATTTTGGAAACATTGCCTGTGAGGTGAACTTCCTGCTGCTCAGTGATGCATTTGAAGGTCCACAGAATTCTGTCTTAGCTGAAGGTGAGGGGTTCTGTGTGGAGGTTCTGATCCAGATGGGCCTGGATTCTGCTTGAAGACAGACCTGATTAGCAGGTTTACAATTAGAAGGGTCGGGTCAAAGTCTTAGTTCTCATTGGATGTCAGTTGGACCTCTGGTTCTGATTCATATTTAAACCCGCTTTCCCCTCTGGCACCCAGAGATGACTTCAGTCCTCTGATGACATCATCTCTGTACGTCGATGTTCCTCCTGTGGATTTTAAAGGGGTAGTTCATACATTTTGAGGTGTGGTTCTGTGGAGACGCAATGGACAGTGTCTTACCTGTTGTAGATGTCTCTGCGGTCCAACTTTGCTTGACTCTGACAGAACTGATGAGCTAATGACTAGTCAGAAAGAGGATTTATTAAACAGTTTTTAACAACCCTTCACCTTTCTGTCAGTTTCACCTGACCGGGTCCTTCCTGCAGGAAGCTCTACAGCTCGCTGCTGCTGTTAGGGCTCCTAGATGACCCCAGAACCTTTAGGTTCAAAACTGAGCAGGGCCGAGTTCCTGCGCATCATTGGATCCAGCGATCACCCAAGAGGTTCTGTACATGGTGTTGGACCTGGTTCTGATTCATGCGGTGTGTGTTTATGGTACACTTGATCCTGGAGGTCCGCGGGTCGTTGTTTGGGGTTGGTTCTGCCTCTGGCAGCAGAAAACAAGGACGGGCATGGAGGCCGAGCAGAACCTCGATTCTTGTTGAGCCGGTCTGCTGGGTTTTGGATCGTTGGTCCGACCCGTTCCAGCAGGTTGCATCTGTTCAGTCTGGGTGGGCTCTCTGCAGGACACTGGTGTCGTCCAGAGGACGTCCAGTGGAACATTGTCTTCAAGCAGTTCCTGAGGACTGTGTTCCCACCACCGTAATACCTGGAGAGATCCAAACAGAACTGTCTCTGCACGATCCGCACCAGAAGCACGATCCGGACCGTCAGCTCAGCGCTAAAAGAAATCCTTGTGGGAGGACTGGACGGTGCACATCATGGGAGGACTGGACGGTGCACA